GCTGGTTTCAGAAAGCTGTTCAAGCAGTTCGAAAAGCCTTGCCTGACCACAGGATGTTTCGAAGAGACAAGCTTCTGGCAGAAGATCATGCGCAAAGGCTGACAGCCGGGAGCCAATGATGCCACCAGAGATGCTGGCAGGTGAGCGGATTTCGAATTCGATTAGATTGGATTATCCAGTGCAGTGTGCATAAGGTTGTGCACTGTAGTTCTCGACGATGCTGTCAGTGACACACTGAAGCTACCAGTCTGCTTGCCCTGTCGATGTGTGCTACAAGTGCAAGCTGCAGCAAACATCCCAACAACATTTTGCGTTTCATGCCATTCTCCGTGCGCTGTTTCGCACCCACCCCCTCCCCGACAACGTGAGTTAGTGGATGTTGCAGCTTGCAGTTGCCAGTTGCAAGCCGCCTTGAAGCACAGACATACTACAATCCTTTCAGTCTCTGATATCCTGAATGGCAGCTAGAGCTAGAGCGAGAGTAGAGCGGATGGCTGATTCTTCAAATTTGTCCCAGACTCCGGCAGTCTACCGTGTATGCAGACATGGACATGCTCGTTTGCCCAACTCTTGTAGGTTTGCCACATGCCATCTGCTGCACCGAGAATCTGGCGCCGCTGCATCTTCACCTGTCAAAGTGCAGTTCTCTCCACACAGAGGAATATGGCATGCTTCCGGCGCAACTGTCTCGAATCCATGTGAACGGTCAGAGTGTTTCGGCTTGTTGTGAAACGGCTCATACTTCTCGTGCGCCATCCAGTCTTCTATGCGGCTCTCACCGCCAAACTCCGGAAGGGACCAAATACACAACCTGCGCTGCAGCCACGGCTGAGATTCTTGCCACAAGTACACGGGTGCCCCAGGGTGCAGCACATTGTCGCACAAAATGTCTGCGTTTGGGCTGAAAAGCTCTGTTGATTCCAGAATGCGAAACTCGGAATGGAAGCGAGTCCCCCTGTGATCCATGAAGACCAGGCCCGCAGAGCCAGCGCCAAAGTCTGCCAGCATCCTCGGCAGCAGATCCTTAACCTGTCCAGTGCAAACCTCCGCAGCTTGAGCACGTTCGCCCAAATTCAGCATGTGCCGCGAGACGCAGACGTGTAGCGGGTCCACCTCCAAGCTCTGCACACGCCATGAAGGCACTCCTGCCTCAGCCAGACTGGCCAGCCGAAGCGTTGAGAAGCCAACGAAGGCACCAAATTCAAGTCTAATCTGATGGCCTGGCCCTGTAGCCAGGGCCAGAATGCCATCGATCAGCGTGCCTTTTGCCTCCCCAGCGACCTTGAGCCAATAGTTCAACTTCTGCTTCGAAAACTCTACGATTGCATTCAGCACATCCTGGCTCGCAGTGCCACCAGCTACCCGCGCATGGACATACTCGACATACTGCACCAACATGGACAGCTTGTGTTGTGCGTGGCCTCCATGCCTTGCCACTTGCGCACCAAAAAATTCTGTGGCAACACGGTGCCTGTCTATGAAAGCATTCGCATTGAAGGGGTAGCCGGTGGTGCCTGACACGATCTCTTGCATGTCTCGGCGCAGAGGCGTGACGGAAGCAATCAGCTGCCATATCCGGCGCTCGTAAGCGGCATCGCGAGAGGCTTCGCAGGGGGAGAGCATAACTCCTACATCAAGCACATCTAAAGAAGTCGGATGCTCAGCGATGCGGCTCTCGAATGCTTCGCGCAAACTCGGCCACGTCAAGCCATGAGCCAAGGACCAAAAGAGCGCATGCATATCTCCAAATCGCAGGCCGGTTGTCCTCGCGCTTGTCCTCTGCAGTACATTCGTCAGCAGGTCGCTCCACACAAAAGTCTCACCGAACCACCGCACGGTGTTTGCAATGTGCTGGGGTACGAAGGTATGGTGCACAGTAATGGCGGCTTGCGCGATCGCATCGAACAGGGGATGATCTTTGATGCTTGGAGTGGTATGACTTCAAGCAGCGTTGGACGATTCCTGTGATCCGAACTGCTGGACTCTCTCCTGGGACATGCAAGATACGGCCTCCATCGCCAGTTCTTTATGCACCAAGAGCTTTGCAGGCCACCAGACCATGATCGCAGGATTGAAGGGCTTGGACTCGGTGATGCGGGCCGCGCACTCGTGAGCTGTGCTATGCATTGAGACCTCCTCTGCAGCTTCTGAAGTTGCATATGTTTGTGCCAAGTTCGTAAGTTCCTGCGGAATGAATTGTGGCATTTGGGAGACAGCTGCCAGCACATTTGCCTTTGCAAATGCCTCATGCAGAAGCTGCAGCGTCGTAAGCTTCCAAATCGCGTTGGCTGAATTCTGTGTGTTGGAAGTTTGCAGATTCGACGAGGCATGACCTGTCGAGTGAAGCAAAGTCTCTCCCTTGGCAGTTGGAGTGGCCAAGCTTTGCACACCGTTAGACAGGTTTTGGGCATCAGGCTGCATGATCTTCAGCTTGCATTCTGCCATCACGGCACTCAGCAAGGGCACATCGAAAATGCTCAGAGTAGCGTGCTTCCGTGCCAGGTTGGATGGAGCTTGCGGCTCAAACTGCGAAAGATGTGTACCGGCTGCATGTCTGAGTGCATTGAACAATGCCAGACGAAGAGCCCCCGACTTTGTGAAAGATCGAGCGATAGTGGAAGTGTCTTGAGATTGCAACCAACGTACTTTGCATGTCGCTGCGATCGCCAGGGAAGCCAACAGAGGTCAGTCCAGGAGCTTCGTCCTTGCAATAGCTTACAATGTGCTAGAAGTTGCCTGCGCATCAGACATGGCCAGCTTTCTACTCACCACAGGGCTGATTTCGTGCAGAAGGCAGCGGCTGAACTGCTGCGGCTTGCTTGGCCTCCGCAAACTGTTGGCAAGCCCCTGCGGTGAAGATCTGCCTGCCAGACTCTCAGCCTTCGATGCTGAGACTGTTACCGACGACTCATGCTGCCAGCGCAGTGTTGCCATCGTTCAACTCAAATTGGCGATGTGCTACGGTTACCATGTCAAGGCAGATGTCAAAGAACGGTGCACAAGCACTTCAAGTAGCGGAGTTCCGAAGACCTTCAATATCCTAGAAGCTCGAAAGGCGTTTGCCACATGCTGCGAACCAAGCTGTTCCACTTTGTCTCGCGACTCGCAGAGAGTCTATCTGATGGGCAGCATGCCGTAGTGGGCCGGGCGGGCAGAGGCTTGCAGAGCATTTGTGAGGTGCTGCGGGAAAAACTCATGTAGGCGTTGTGCGGATCCGGCTCCGATAGCACCAGACAAAGCGGCGTGTCGCAATCTCAGCTTCCCGAATGTCCGCACCAGGTTGGAGAAATTCTGCGGCTCGAAAGAACCCATTCGAGCTGATGCGGATGCACCGATTAGGTCTGAAAGCGGCTGGTCTTTCGCCTACGTCTTGGTGAAGTCTCATGCAATCTTCGCAAGGTGCTGAACGCTGAGTCAGCATGCCTCATCCAGTCTCAGGACTCCCGTGTTCTGCACAGCATGAAGAACATGAGCCGCAGTTGCATTCTATGGAAACATGAAAGCCATGGCAAACAAATGGCCAAGCTTCGCTGACCAAGCTTCGCTGACCAGAGTGAGAATTGCAGTGCTACAGAGACCTAGTTGGAGCACTAGGGGCAGTCCACTGCGCATGAAAGGTGCGTAGTTCCGAAAGCCATCGGGTTCTGGAGTATCAAGGTCATGCAATGTAACCACTCTCTTAATAGCATTAACCTTTCAAGTCTTTCATACTCGAGCCATCATGCTAACCTGGAAGTGCCGGCGTCTGCAATCGTGCAGGGCTCGTCCCTTGCCAGGTGCCTGGAGCTGCAGCTTTGTTCAACATCTTTGCAACCAGATCCTGGCAAGCTTGCCGATACGACAGATCTCACTGCTATACCATGCTATGCAAACCAGGGTGCCTCCATGTGCGTTGGGTCCCCCGTCAGCATCCTGCTGGTTGCAAACGGCGACGTGCTTTATCTCCGTACATCGTCTGCTTAGTACAGTGCGACGAACAAGCTCCCAGAATTCGAGTGCGGGAAGCATAACATTGGACTTGACAACGGAGGCAAGGGTTCCACGTGAATGAACAACATAGGCCATAGGGCTGCATGCCTGCCGGCACACTTCACAGCCGGGAAGGCTGACGGAATGCAAGCACAATCGAGATGCTAGTGGGGCCAGAAGGAACCTAGCGGAAAGCCTGGCCACCACATAGGTCAGAGGTTTTAGTATTGAAAAGTCACAACCTTTGCCTTCACCATGGTTGGTTGTCCCATGGATGCTCTAGGACGAACGAAGATGCGCTGGGGCGAAATGTCCCGAACAAGCCCCGGGCTGAAGTACCACTGCATGATACCGCATGCAAGGAGAACGGATCCTAGTTTCGGACACGTCGAGCGCCTGAAACAATCCTTTACACGAGGCACATCGGTAGTCGCAAGGAAATATAAACCAAGACGGACTGAATAGCGCAAAACCAAAAGGTTTGTTGGCGACCCTGGAGCTACCCAGAGTCATGAGAGCTTGGGCCAAGACGAAGCAAACTCGCTGTGCCGGGCCAACAGAGCGGACAACAAAAAACAAATCTCATTACAATGTCCGCAAACCGAAAGCACATCGAGATCGGCAGCCTCTGCAAATCTTCGTGGGACACACCTTCCTGTACAAATCAATGCCAGTGTCCCAATCAAGAAACAACAGCGCAATCCAGCCTTCGTCATGAAATTCATGAAGTCATCTGCACCTTCAAGCAGAATCATCCCCGCCAACCCACACAGTTGCTTGATGGTCACACGGTCACACACTGCGCTTAGCGACCGGCTTGTAATCTTCTCCAAGCTCTCCTTCCAAGTCACCCAAATCGACGGCACAAAACAACTGTGTGCAAATGTGTGCGATTCGGCAGATCCTGAGATTTTTGGGTTCTGTTGGGGCAATCCTTGCACTGAAGACTTAGTCCATCTTGATACCCTGTGCTCTGTGCTCTGCAAGCCGTGCTCAGGCGTTTCAAGCAATGTCCAGAAACGGGCAATGCCTTGCTCGCCTTGTCAACTCCAACGCCAGATTCGTTGGCACTCTTCACGAAGGCCGCCATTCGATTCTTGGTTTAGCTCCTCCAACTCCAATCAACCATTGAAGCGACTCCTGGTTTAAGGCTTGCTGGAGTCCAGGTCTAGTTCACCAGGGTTCCTTTACATCACGAAGATTTGACTCCAGTTGGTACATGCCCTGACATCCCAGAGAAGCACGCCTGGCGAAAGTGCGACATCAAAACAATTCAAGAATACCGGTGTCCCGAGAATTGAGAAAGTTTGCGCCCAAAGCGGAAATCCACAAGCATCAGTCCTGCTGCTGCTGCAAAGCGTCGAGTTGTTTTCGCGTGGCCTGCGAGCACAAGTGCATCAATTCAGTCGTGTCCTCGCTTCGGCAACCTGGGTAAAGGGTATCATTTTCAGCGAAAGGCACGCCTCTCGTCCTGCCTCCATCTGAGCCTGCTCCAAACGATGCTTCAACTTGTACAGAGACGCGAGCTTTCACAGCATGACCACATCGGCCCAGGTGGGGTATGGAGAAGTTGAGGCGTCGACTTCGACTCGGCAAGGATCACCATAACAGAAAGAGGTTGCAAACCCACAAAGGGCAAGGAACCGAATCCCAGGATGCTAGGAGCATACAGTCAAGTCTGACGAGCCAAACCAGGCTTTACATGCCCTTGCTCACTGATTCCGAGGCCGCAGGCTCTCGACGCGGAGCGGGACCAAGTGAATACACCGCTTGAAATCGCTTGAGCTTTTGAGGCTGGGCGCTGGAAATGCCTTCCTTCAGCCGCTGCGTTACTGCGCTTCTCGAAAAAAGCTTCGCGGAGACCTGCGCTGTTGTCTGAAAACTCGCTCCTGGATCTTCGAAATAGTGTTTGCCTTTGGCACACGCAGTCCTAGCCTCGAGATAACCTCGCACAAGTGATCCAGATGAGGTGCCGATTCTGTCACCGTAATTAGAACAAACGTTGATCGTGAGAAAAGCTTGCACCATGAAGATTGATGGCCTTCATGCCATCGATTCTCCTTGCCAGCGAGTCTGGCGAGTCGTCCTGGCACCGCGTCTCGACAGTACGGCCTCTGGTCTATGCCTCAGCCGCTTGCGAAGCTCCTCGAGCGGTGCAGACCTGGGTTGTAACGAAACAAGCCAAGTCGTGTCGGGGACCGAATGGTCTTTTTGCGTGTCAGGCAGCGCGCCGTCGCACACACATGTCAGACTGTACATATGACCGCTTTGCGAGCCAATTCATCGTAAGATGGCTATTCGGCCCATACAGGAATTCGATCAAGGTCGATCTCACAATCCACCGAATGAGTCGAAGAGGCTGTCTTTCCTCAGAGCAGATCTCCCGAATGGGTCGAAAACTTCGTGCTGTCTCTTCGTGCTCAATGCAGCAAGGCACGTCCGACACTGACAGCCTTCCCGATCATGAGATTCTCCTTGACTCCCTCAAAGCCGTAGCGGCCTCCAACTCGAAAGTCGCACAAACTCCCGCACAAGAAACGCCCGCTCTTGTTCTACTTTTCCTACCTGCACCCTGGAAGACCGCGTTCGCCACGACATTATCCACTTCTCGGAAGCCCATGGCCACCAAGACGTGACTACCATCTCTGCCAATCTCCGTGAGCCCCCGAACGGTGGGCTTCACCTTCACCTGCAGGGCAGCTGAGGCATCAAAAGCCGAACACTCCGCAAGGGATCGCAAAGCAGCCAGAAAGAAACCAGGTCAAGCGGGCTGAGTGGGTTTTGTGAGAAGTGCAGCCACAGAGCCGCAGCACTCGGTTGCAGCGCACATAGCCCTTCCAATTCAACATACTGCATCAGTGTCCCAGGTGGAAGCCCGCTGATTCCCTCTTCAATCCTGCACTTCTCCTTGGACAGAAACATCCTTTTCTGATGGCTACTGCAGCCTGCTTCCTCTACCAAACACGCACCTGACGAATCCGGTCTGACATGGTCTTTGGAAGACGGTCCCTGGTGCGGGCGTCGGACGTGTCACCATGCAGCTAGTCGACGTTGAATGCTTGCAAATGTTTAGCATGCTACACTGGTACCTCGACCAAAACTAAGGGGTCAGGCAAGTGCTGGCTGAAAGCACATAAAAAGCCACTGCTTAATGATGCATTGAAAGAAAACTTGTCGTGAGCTCACCCAACAACCTTTGAACCTGCAGCTGTGTAGCTGTCATTCTTCGCACGACCACCTGCAGCAGGTCTAATCAGCACATAAAAAATCATACACGAGCACAGCCGTTAGACACGTACCATGTGAAATCCAGATAAATGGTGATTCACGGACCGTTTGTGAATATGCGGCACCCGCGAACAGACAATTCGGGAACCGAATCTTCACAAATCAGGCGCCGCAGGACGCGTTCCTGCTGTTGCGCGTGGATCTGACTTGTGCATTAAGGCCACGCTTTTTCTAAGTCAGATATGCCGGATGGCGCTGCGCATCGATCTATATATAGGTGTAAACCCTACCAACAAGAACCCCAAAACCGTGAAGGTCAAAACAACCCTAACCTTTAATCCTGAACACACCCTAGGCATCAACCCTGGAAGTCCTAGATGCAGAACCTCGACGAGTCTAAAACCTAAACCGTGGAAAACCATTAACCCTGAAGAACCCGTGACACCCCAAACGCCCTAAACCTGAACTCGGGAAACCTTAGACTGAAGAAACCCAAGCCCTAAATCTGGTCAGAAAATCCCTTAAGCCTCAACCGTAAACCCTACAAACCCAAGCCCGAAAAGTTTGAAAACTAAACCCTAACCATCCTAACCGGAAAAGCAGCAACCCCAAACAACCTTTTTTGCATAAACATGCTAAATATTCAAACCCCAAGCTTGAAAAACTACCTTAAACCGGAAAACCAGGAACCCCCAAAACCTCGAGCTAACTTAACCCGAAACCGGGACATCAGGAATGCCAAAGAACCTCGAGCCCTAAACCCCAGAATGCGTCAAATCTTACCCTACAAGCTTGAAAACTAAACCCTAAACCGGAAAACCAAAAACCCCAAAGAACATCGCGCCCTAAAGCCCCAAAACGCATTGAATCTTCTAATCCTAAGCTTGAAATGCGAAACCCTTAAACCGGAAAACCAGGAACCCCAAAGAACATCCAGCCTTGAGCCCCAAAACGCATTAAATCTTCGAGCCCTATAAGCTTGAAAAAAAAATTGAACCGGACAACCAGGAACCCCAAAGAACCTCGAGCCCTAAGCCCCAAAGCAAAACAAAGCGACAAACCCAATACGCTTGACATACCAAACCCGAAACAAGACCCAGGAACCCCAAAGATTAAGCCCTAAACCCCACTTCAAACCTTAAAGCATTGAAAACCTAAACCTAACAGAAAGGACTGTTGCGTGGGATGGAAACTTTTGGTTCGTATCTGTTCGAGATGCTCGTTTCTATAGTTTCAGGGCTAGTTTGGTCACGAAACTGCTGGTTTGTACCTGTTCGAGATGTTCGTTTACATAGCTTCAAGGCTAGTTTGGGGACTTGTTCCTTTC